TCGTAAACTAACTGCTCTATTTAATGTATGAATAGGACGGCGAAGCGGTGTGTACTATGAGCTCAATGTAAACAGACCGGCGCACACGAAGCTGAGAGCTACGACCGGAACCCAAGTAACACAGTCATGCTGAATAACGTTTGAGTACTAGTGATCCGCGAAACTATAAGCTGTAACTATTGTCTGGATATTGTCTGAGTGAACGTCTATTCAACTGTTACTCAAGCAATTTGGGCACATTTTTAAATGCATAAGTCTGTATAATATAGCTGTAAAGTTTGGGTAATTGCTTAATAATAACAGGCTTAACTTAATAACGTCTGAAAAAAAGCTGTCATCACTTTAATATAGCTATTATTTCGTATTTATTCAGACAAATGCATATGGATTTTGTTATTCAAAAATTATTCAGGATTATGTTCATTTGCGTAATACTTTTCAAACATAATTAAAAGTTAAGTTGTGAATTAGAAAAAAAGTTGTGTTTAATCGTGCAGTGTGTGCTTTGTTTTGAAATTTCATAGTTTTTAGTAAAATAAAGATGGTAGTGGAACTATGCGAATCGGTAAGTACCTAAATGTTATTATGTATTATAACCATGATACACGTAAAAAATTACTGCGCAAGTTATTTTATCGTGAATAGCATATAAATTATCTCAACATTTTTCACGCGCCGCTTTCATATTCATTTTTAGTAATAGTATATGACATATAAATAAAGACTTTTAGAAGTGACAAAAATAATTAGGATGAAACAGTTATGCTAATCTTTCAAAAGTCATTAAGTTACTCAAAAAATATATTTTTAACTGTAATTAATTACTAAAATGGGGCATTTTATATACGTAATGTTTCAATAATTTACTTAAAAATAAAATAAAATGGCGATTCATTATAAAAGTTCTCCACGCAGCTATTTTACAGTACAACTCTGATTTAATTTGAGAAATAGTGATTAGGCACTACAAGTATCTGAATAACACTTGATAACGTTACTAAATGTGATTAATTATACAGCGAATCAGGGTTCAAAACATAATACGACGGACCAAATTTCTCAGGAAAATTGATATAATATTTATATGAGTAATTACAAAAAAGGACCACTTATATTTTTCAATACAAATAAGGGTTTTTTTTCTACCTATTCAGTGGCAAATGATACAACACAAATACTATGCATAATGTTTTATTCTTATTTTTTTTAGCATGTACATAAACGCAGTTATAACGAGGTTATGTTTTTGTTTTTCTAGTTTTAGGTAGGTTGGGTTAATTTCGTATTACAAAAAATTACAACCATCTATGCGATGGGGGTAGTTTAGTAATATGTAGATTCATAGTGAATTATTTTAGCTAGAACAAACAACATCGAGTAATTTACACGTATTGATCAGTTACTATTATTCACAGATAGGGAGCGCACCGCGGCTGCAAGTTAGTGCGTGGCGTGTGTTAAACTCGCGAAATTATAGTTTCTAAAAGGTTTTTATAGTTTTATTGTTTTTAGCTATCATAAAATAGTACTTACTCTAAGTTCCTAACATAAAGCGAAATGTCTTGCAGGAGAATGCCGTTTAAGATTGTTTCTACTCAACGAAGGGGCAGAGCAGAACTATGCACTCTACCTTCCCACTGGGAAAGCACAGCGAAACTGAAATGGCCCAAATTTAATACCGATTACCTTTGTAAAAACGAAAATGCTCAACCTAGTCCGGATTGGATTTCAATGAATTGTACCTTAAAAAGAAATAATTTTACAACCTTTGAAGATGCAGAAGAAGAGTTATCTAATATGACGTTATGTGTAGACCATAGTGTGTACAATACGTCGTCTCTGGAGTTTGCCTCCAGCTCACTAAAATTTTAAATATATGCGAGTTTGAGAAATCATCCCCAAGAAGGCTTACTGTTTTTTTAATTTAGTAATTATAAGATTGAACGGATTTTTTTAAATTTGAGAAATAAAAGAAATTTTGATAATTTTAAACGCTTTTAATTATAATAACTAACTTCACGAACAAAATTTCACATAAAAAATAAAATTCTCTTATTGATTTTTTCAGTGCGACTTGTGAAATATTTTTACTAAGAGCCCATTTTTTAATTTCAATAAAATTCACATCTGATTTATCTTCACTAGATGCGGAAATATTATCTTCTGAATTCTGTACAAAATCTATAACGGCATTATTTGAAGGTACAGAACTCCCTTTAACTGGATCTGTTCGGACTTGACTCAAATTACGACTACCTAAGCTCGCTCTCGTAGTAAAACAATGTTTTAAACGTCTTTAATTCACTTACTACCCAGAAAAACTCGTTATAAGTTCTTTAAAAATGGTATTTTTACAAGTAATTGCGGAATTAAAATACATCATTCGACTTCCATCTGTGTTACGTTAGCTATAAACTATGACTTTATTTCCCTTATACCAAAATAAGCTCTATTTAGAACACAGAAAATACTTTTATACAGTAGTTGAATAATTGATAAAATGTGGAACCTTATATGACTTGACGGCAAAATAAAAGCTGTTATTCAAAATACAATGCTAATATTCCTTTCATTAGAAATTACTTACACTCTTATTCAGAAGACATCTGCCGTGGACACAGTTTTACAGAGTATGGTGGTTTTATAAGCAATAAGTTGAGAAAAGTTTGTTTATTAGTATTAGATAATTACGTTTATTCAGCTACTTATACTAATATACAGATAAATGCTGACACGGGCAATATTTTTCAAATTAAAGTCACCTGTAATGCTTTAGGCTTAATAATATCTGCGTTTTATGCTGTACAGAAGTTATTACTAAGCTTTAAAAATAATAGTCGAACTTAATACAACTTTTATCAAGCATAAATGGCTATTAAGGCAGAAAGAGCAAATTATTCAGAATTTGGCTATTTCAATAGCCTTTCCTCAAACGTTATGGAGCTTATATCTGTAAATATTTTCGAATTACTTTTACTCAAACACTATTCAGCATATCTGTGTTACTTGGGAATTGTATAAAATATGGGTTAAAGCAAGAAGTAGGTCGGAGAGGTGCCACCATGCCGTTGAACTCTTGTTGTATGTATGGCTGGTATATCTACCTATACTTAGGTATATAAAAGCAGATGTGCGTGATCTAAGTTTCTAAATATCTGCTTATTTGACAATGCAATATTCCTTAGATAGGTTTCCTTAAGTAGGTAGGTAGGCAGATAAATACAACACTAGCTACTCTCGCGCGGTTTCTCCCGCTGTTTGGCTCCATTTAATTGTAGCCTATAGCACTTAGAAACATTGTAGCTATCTATCAGTGAAAGAATTTTGGCAATCCGACCATTGGTTCCAAAGATTACCCCCTACATACAAACTTACAAATATTACCTCTTTATAATATTAGTAGGTAAGTATAGATAATTACATATTGTTATTCAAATAGATTGCTTTGCAAATATTCATCATTAGTTAAATATGTCGCCATAACATTAAAATATTACTTTCAAAAATAGACAACTTGTCCTTGTTAGGTGTACAAATGCGCACTGCGACTTTTCAGCATTACAATAAATTCAACAAAGGAGTCATAACTTCGGTAGTTATACTTACAAGTCAAGGTAATTCTTTTGTGTCTATTTGTTTTCCTATTTTAAAGCCTTAAAGTATCAAAATTGTTTGCTTATTAATATTAGCTTCATTAATAGCTTAGGTAGAATCAATACCTAGATTTTTTGAACAGCTGGTCGGAAGCCGTAAACAGCTATAGAAATCGGCAAGTTCACTGCGGCTAGAGACTAAAATACAGGTGAATTAAACAATTAAACCTTCTCATCATAGGACTCTTTTATAGCCTATCGATTCACTAGACAAAAAAATAACAAAACAAGCATTACGGAATTAATTACGATTGATTCTCATCATAGGTCACAGGACCTATACATTGTAAATGATTCATCACCTCCTGGAACAAACGTGCAATATTTTATGACGAACCTTGATCTCTACTATTTGTAGGTCAGATCATTTAGTCTAGATATAATATGCGAGGGCACCCACAGCGACAAATCAGCGGAGGTGTAATAGCATATTGTTCCTCTTGAGCCCCCACAAGCTTGTCAAGCTTTGATTAATACATTCGTGTTTATATCCACATTGTCTTCAGGATTAGACTGGCCATCAAGGTCAGAGTCCCAAATCGAGCATTAAGTCATTTCCTTATTTGAATGAAACGGCTAGGTTGGTAATATACTTTTATTTGTATTACCTAGTGTCCTGAAGAGACGTAGGAGGCAACCAGTTTATTTAAGCACTTGCATACCTAATGTAAGTTTGGAATCTCAGCTGATGTTTACAGCAAGTTGCCGGCAAATCGTTTCGTCGACAAGGTCAGTGATGTAATTGCCACATTTAGCACTCGAACGTGTGCCACTACGAGTCGCGTTATCCAACGATATGCTGCGATAGGAGACAGCCGTACGTTTCATGTTTTTATATGACATCATCCTCATTTGTCCTCAACTAAAATAAATTTCGATTAGGCAATTATTAATTTTAATTTGCCTTAGGCAATCGGATCTGACTCTAAGTACAAAACTGTTTTGTCCAGCTCTATCTATTATGAAGGTAGATAAACACATAACGTACCTCCACCAAAGTTAAGAAAAATACCTTAGATAAATAGGTACCTACTCACTGAAATTTCAGGTCTAGTTGGTTAAGGTGCCTAATTTTATAAGATTTCGAGGAACAAACACCTAAAATCTAAATTTATAGTAAACGTAACACACAATTACATAACACTGAAATAAATGTTTTAAGTTGTAAAATTTCACATGTTTGTGAATATTTAGTTTTAGTAACAATAAAAATGTGCAAATTTTCTAATTGAACGAACCAAATTATGAAACAATAAGTAAATTCAGAGAAATGTAACGTTGCGACCATACCTTTAGTAAGCCAACACTGATAGTACCTAAGTACAAAATTACTGTTTGTGATTTCAGTAAATAAACAAAGATGTCTGAAGGCACGAGTGCAGACGCTGCGGTCGAGCAGGTGACACAAGAAGTGAAGGACGTCAAGCTGGAGAACGGGTCAGCTCCTGGTGCAGTCAACGGAACGGCTAACAAAGCTGAAGGAGCCATTTCTCTAAAGGTATCATTGTTGTAATCAAAGAAAAATAAATTCCAACAAATCAATTTGAATTTATTCAAACTAGCGTATCCGTATCGAGGGAGTTTTCCATATATCTACTAATTAATAAGATCTTATTATTAATATACTTAGATACCTTTAATTTTCTCAGGATGCATTCAAAGCTTTTTCTAAATTTGGAGACCCAAAATCGGATGGCAAAACGATAACACTGTCACAAAGCGACAAATGGATGAAGCAAGCAAAGGTGATCGATGGGAAGAAAATAACCACGACGGACACCGCGATTCACTTCAAAAAACTAAAGACTCTGAAGCTTGGTATTGACGACTACCAGAAATTCCTAGAAGACCTTGCTAAAAGTAAAAAGGTAGAGCTGGAAGAGATAAAGAAGAAGCTCACGAGTTGTGGCCAGCCGGGTGTCTCATCACACGTAAGTATATACAAGTGCCTACACTCATTGTCATAGTAACTTTAAAACCTTGAATTTTATCAACGTATCGTAGCTATGTAAACTTTGAACGTGATGTTTAAGACGGTCTGCTATTGGCTATATGTATACCTACTTACATGATTTTCTTTACGTTATACGGAACATGCAACAAAATAACATGTTACATATGTATTCGATTTACATGGCCATATTTTTTTTCATTTTTCCGGTATGAAGAATGGTGTCATTATTGGACGATTAAGGGATGATTTTTTTAATGGTTAAATAAAAGTTACCTCGTTAATAATTAGGATGCTGTCGCGTCAGAATATTTGTACCTAATTATAAGACATGTCACTGTCTTATATTGCAACTGCAACAATTTTATTCCTCACATAACATTTATCTGACTATTGAAATTAATGCATTAGATTATCTACTGCATATTTATTTTATCTGTAATCTAAATTTCAAATTTCAGGTGACCAAGTCGCCAGCGGCTGCAGCTGCAGTGGACCGCCTGACAGACACCAGCAAGTATACGGGCTCCCATAAACAGAGGTTCGACGAGACCGGCAAAGGCAAGGGCATCGCTGGCAGGAAGGACCTGGTCGATGCCTCGGGCTACGTGTCTGGCTACCAGCACAAGGATACGTACAACAAGTCCCACTAACCGCCATTCTGTACACGGCATACAATTAACATTTAAATAAAACCTGGGAGCCTGAATCCTCAAACCTTTTACGGTATTTACTAATTCCTTATTTTGGATCACAAGAGTTGCTGACGAAGTAAAATAAACATGCATGACTCGTATAAGACTGTACGATTTGTTATTCCGCGCAAATATATCAACTTTTACTATGGGACCAACTCCGATATGATAAAACGTAAATTCCATACGCTTTGGGATACAAACAACAGGCTGTATGGAATAAATAAAAAATATTTTCAAAATTCGGAATTGGTTCAATAATTCAAGTTAACTGTTATCATATTTCAGTCTTCCTCAGTAAGATATCTTACCTAATTGTATATTCAGCAAGCATTGGAACAAATATAGCTTTCATATGACGATCAAAGTCGATCTCTGGCTAAACCACTTGGAAGCTTCTCTTTGCAATAATTACGATATTGTACATTTTTTTAAGTACATGGTACTAGATTAATGCATTTGAAAGAGTATTGCTTTGTATGTTGTGCGAAAGACATTCCTTCCTTAGAAAGTAAACGTTGTAATAGAGTAAGTGGAAGCGTTTTCTGACTATATTACCTTGTCTGTACGTCTAGTCGTGTGTATAGTTACATTCTTTACAAAATATTAAAAGTTTCAATGTATTTTTAAAATTGAAATGGTCATAAAATGATAGTATTTTTTGTATCGAACCTTGTATTTCCTAAAGCAAATAAGTACTAAAATGTATTGTAATAAATAGTACAAAACATCTGCTATACAAATGTACAAAGTACGTAAACCGTGTGGTATATGTGTGTAAAGGTTACGTTCAAAATACATAAATGATTCCTTTCATCATAACTTTTTTTAAGAATATTATTGTGTCATATAAAGTAAGCGCACGGTTATTTATAAGTTCTTAGATTTGTACTGGTTCTCAATATTAATATTGGTAAATAATGCCTACTTTTAATATACCTACCTACTGTAATTTATCAATTTTAATTATTTTGTTAACATTATAAATAAAGTACATCCATTATTATAAAGTGGTTTTCTTTTGTGGCCATTGTGGCACTTACTAGAGTGTCTCTAATTACCACGACTGAAAGGTCAAGGAAAAGGAAGACCAAGAGATGTCGGTTGGTACAATTTATTTGACTTATAACTACAAATACATGTGTAAAGCACTAACATTTGATAGTATAATTGATGAAATAATAATTAATAATCAATTATATATGGTATTAACATATGGTGGTACTACTAATTTTATTTATTGAAGAAAATAAACTAGGACTTTATTCACATAATGCTCCATTATTAAAGTTAGTCTATACAATATAATATTAATAACACAAATGACTGCTAGCCCACACTACCTTTCATATAATATAAGTTTAAATAAAATATAACAAAACAAAGAATAGAATGCAAAAGTTTAAACAATAGGTACAGATACTTGTGCTAGTCATATATTACATGTTGTAAAAGTTTACCCGACTTTCCTGTATATCGCGTAGAAATCACGTTATCATTTATTAATTTACCCAAAACTATAAACACATTTAACACACAAATATTACCATTCAATTCGAGCAATGTACAAGCGTAGCTATTTCGCTAACTTTTCTAAATTGTTTGCCCTTAACTTCACGAACTTTCGAAACGAGTAACCAAAACAAGAGGTACAGTCATGGATGAATTATACTGTACTGCCAAGTATTAGCCACGCCTGATGAATTATTAAGACATTGCAGTTTTTAATTTGTGTAGCTAATGTGATTATATTATTGTACATGTTAAAATACGAGCGAAGAACAGAATAATCGTTGTAATCACTTACATTACAATGCTTATTTATTTTTATTTTCTTTTGAAGCACACATTATGTATAATCAAGAAGAGCGCTGTAGCAAATGTAAGGCTTTTAATTAGTTTTAATCCCGGCCACTCATAAATTTCAGCACCAAATTTCTTTGTAGATTATTTTTTTTATTTAATTTTGCCTTAACTAACCTCAATATGTTCGTGCTTCTTGTCTTTGGAATGAGATCATGGAGATCCACGAAATATTCAGGCAGATCTAGGCTTGCGTCATCACAAAGGAATGACAGTAAGGAATAATGAATGAGTGACGACAATACTCGACAGCTATTTAATATTTATAATTATTAATTTATATATCAATGAAGTCTCAGTCTACAATATTATAAGGTAGGCAACAGTATAATATTTATTTAGTTTATATGACACACTTTTAACGTCGTACAAATAGCCTTGAGTCATTAACGATCTTAAATCTTTTCTCATTTAAATGAGCATGTATGGAAATATCGTAAACAAGTTTCTTTGACTCGTGACCTTTTTGTTAGTTACAGTATACTTACATCATTTAATTTTTTACAAAGACAATAATTTAGTGTTAAGTTAGAGATTATTTTAACTTGTGACAAATTCACTACAGACCCGAACCTTGACTCTTACATAGGCTTTAGGCAACTGCAGTATTTCAGCTATATTGCGATCGATTAGCTATTAGAACATGTAAATACTGACATATTTTTAAAGTCTATTTTAAGTCAATTGTTTTAGAAATACAATATTTACAATTTGCTACATGTATGTTAACTCCAAGCTGAAAAATGCAATCATATCATTATAAGAAATCTGCAAAATTATAAATCTAGATGGCGAAATATTATCACCCTGTATAAATAATACCCTTTTTAAATTTTGAACATAAACTAAATAAAAATTAGAATAATCTCACGACTCTGGATATTCACAATGATTGCCATGCCATTCATTGGAGAGCAATGTTACAGACAATTGTCAAAAGAACTGTTCACACCTGACAGGTCTGAAACTATGGACTTTGAGATTCCGTAGCTTTATATTATGGTTTCGTTACTGCAGCAATATCACCCCAGTATTTGGGAAGTAGTGACAAGAGATGACATAGAATCCCAGATATGACACTGTTTGTCAAATATGTCCCTGATAAGATTAAATTAGATATATATAAAGACATTGTCCACTGTTACAAGAATAGAGCATAACCTACCTACACTTTATTCGATTTCATTATAAAATTTTCCCATGATTATATTAGGTACATTTAACATAATATCAACATCAGCAAATCATCAATTAGAACAAACTCGGCTCTAATTTGAGATGTTTTAAATATACTTGGCAAACCAAGCTCTTATAACAATGCTATATGGAATTGAGAATTTTCTATATAATATACTTTCTAGTCATACAAATTTTATCACAAAATCAAATGACTTGACGATTACATAGGGCCTTCAATAGTACTCACTTTCATAGCAAAGTAGTACACAGCTCGACTGCCCAGGATTAGAGCAAGGAGGAAGCCGCCGACGTAAGCCACATAAATGCCGCCTCCGTGGCTCTTAGCAGCGGAGAGTGTGCCCAGCGTGACGCCGAGAGCGATAGCGAAAAACACCAGCGACAGCACCGCGAATCTCGCTCCGCGTTTGCGAGCCACGCTCGCTCCCACCGACGACACCTTGCGGCAGTGAGGACATCGGACGGGAGAGTCTTTCAGCAGTTGGTACTGGAATAACAATATCCAACAATTCAATAAATATTTATTAAAACCTTATCTGAGGTCGATGACCTGTATTTTTCTTTGAAAGTAAAGACTATGTCTTTTTAATAATATATGTCATACACATAATGTATAGTTATTATCAAACCAGGAACTTGACTAATTGATAAAAATGAGTGACAATGAGCTTACTTATTTTTATTTAAAGATGTTTGTAAGTAACTAGATATAAGTAGCAACAACACTTTTTTGTTAACATGTTAAGGATGTTGGTTTTATATTTCTAAACCAATTTTGTGATGCCATAGGAGTGCTAAGGACATTAAGTTCCTGCCACAAGTGGTTAAAAAATGGATCAATTACTAAATTAATTAGTTTATATTCTGACAAGTGTATATTTTACTTTCCTACTTTGAGAACAATGATAAAAGTATGCTGTGTACATTAAGAAGTTAGGTCTACTAGAGTAAATTGTAACAAATGAAATACAGCAATAATGCTTTTAAAACAAAGATAATAGAATGTTTACAAACAAAGACATGCTTTAAATATTTCAAAATGAACTCATTAATTATTATTTACTTTACAATAACAAGAGCTGTGTATTGATATGTGAGAATTAAATGAAATTAACAACAGATAAGCTGATGATGGTACCATTTAGTCATTAAAATATTCTGTCTGATAAGATTTTCATCCAAATAAATTTGTTTAATGATTATGGGCTACAGATTTTTCTAGACGTTGATTTTATAATTTTGATTAAAATTATTTTACAGAGCAACCTGCAGAGATTGAAGAGAGCTACTTTTTGATGGAGTATGTTGATTAAAAAAAACCATTTAACATTTATTGAATAAAGCATTTTAATGTATGCTATCTCATTGTTGTGTGTTTTTTTTGTGTGTGTGTTTTTTTAGCCTTTGATTGCCAATGAAACACTATTGAAAGCAAATCCTATGCTACAGTGGATCACCAGTGACCTATGTGGCGATTAACATTTTAATAGTTGAAGTACTTGTTTTGATATTGTTGTATTTGATTTAGCTTTAGTGATCCTGTATCTGTATATGATTTCATTGCTGTGCCTAATTTTGGTCATGTGTATATATTTTGATTGAAATTCTATAGAATTGTGTATACAAATAACATGTAGATGATTCTGTGACTCAGTCTTATTTGTGAATTATGAAAAATATAGAAAATATGGATAAGAGTAAATTCTTATTGGTGTGTTGTCATTAAGTTGTTTTTTTTTAAATGAAGCACCATAATTTTATATACCTAATGTTACAATTGTTTTTGTAGGGTAGTCTGAAATGTTTTTGCTAACAATACTGTACAAATAATAGTGTTGATTTAAGATTAAATTTCTTTTTTCATTCTAATTGGAACATTACAATTACAAGTAACAATAGAAACATAATATTTATTTATATTATTTACTATCTAGTAACCTAACAACAAGCAAGGTCTGATAGAGGTTACATGCATTTATAACATAAACCCCTTGCAAAACATTCAACATCTACACTTAAAAGTATTGTTAGAAAATAGAGAGTTCATACATAGTTATATACCTATTATAAGAAATAAGTAATTTCTCAAAATATTTACCAAAAATGTGTCTTGACAGTGAGCACAGATAACCCTGCACATTCCTGGCAAGGTGGCAACAGGAGGAGTCACAGGAGATGGCGCCAAGTTGATAATCCTCTTGCAGTCTGCACGGGGGCATGCAATTCGCTGTGATGATGACTTGCAAATTAACAAGCAGTTGCAAGGACAGCGTACATATTTCTTGCCTGGTGGAGCATTCCTAATAGGCTGAAAACCAAACAAATTGCCAAAGTATAGTACTAACTCAATACCAAGATAAAAAAAAACAATACACTTCAACACTATTACATTCTGTGTTGTGTGAGTCATTGAACTGATTAACAACAAAAACATATTCAAACTGATAAAGGTAGAAAGTAAAGATATGATTAATGATTTAAATTGATAATATGAAACTAATTTTGAGTGAAAATAGATCACTGGAAAAACAAAGAACAGGTATAGGTAATTAATGTACATACCGTTGCTTCATTGCATTCTGAACATTTAACAACATGCTGCTCTCTCTTCCCTGATATGTCGATCATAGCCTGGCAAACGCGACATGTTACCATCGGCATTCCCGCTTGTTGGTAAGGCGGAGGAAGCTCGTCAGGTCCAATTGGAGATATTGTGCTGACATTTACCTCCTCTGTCATACAAAAATATTACATTTGCGTGTTAGAACCACGTAACCAATCATGTAATAACTGGAAATTCTGTTGCACAACACAAACAATTCGATGGACTGCGTAGCGGCTGCTTGAACCATCTCATTTCATTGTTTAGCAACAAAAATCACAAAAGTAATAGTTGAATCATCAGCTGTCAAACAATATAAGCAATTAAATACTTACCGTCTCTAAGCAAAGGTTGAGTTTCACTTTGTCCGTCTCCCATTTTATAAAAATTAAGTTTTTGATAGTGGATTATGCAAATTTCCAATAATTAAATCACAATTTTTGACGAAAATATGTACTCAGCTCGCACTGCAATCCTACGAAACTTGATTTTACGTTTTTTTTTTCACTTCTATCAGCTTGGATACGTGGATTTTAGGCAAGGCAAGCACTACGAACAAAAATACATAAACCTAAATGATGTACAATAGTTGGGTAGTTGGTATGGTTTATACAAGTTTTAATTTCATTTCATTATTTCCTGTTAAGTGTAACTTTAACCTTTGATTATAAATCGGATAGATATTGATAATTTTATTGTTTACATAATTGGTGATAATTGGATAGTATTTTCAACAAATAATTATTTTAATTCTTGTCATCTGTCTGTATTCTATTTTCTGTCAACCGAACTTTGACAGGTCGTCCAATGTTGTTGTTCACGTTTTGTCAATGTCAGCGTGAGAATTGACAGTTTTATGTTTAGAGGTTATTTTGTAGTCCATAAATTGTTGCCTGCATGTGATTTAAAGATTTTAGCTTTATAGCATTTATATATTAATTGCAATGGCGTGCAAAGTACACAGAGTTCGTTATTATAATCCAAAACCACAGCCAATTAACTGTGTTTCATTTAATAAAACAAGTAAACAGATTGCCGTAGCGAGGTATGTTTCACAAAAACATTGTTTTTGTTGTATTTTATTATGGTATATATATTAAATTTTTTTGGTTCTTGTAGAGGCGATGCTTCCATTGAGATTTGGGATTTAAATTATGCCCCGTATCTCGTCAAGTTTATTCCTGGTGTAGAAAATGGTTCAGTAGAGGCACTTGGTTGGGCGAAGAATAGGTTACTTTCCACCGGACTTGGAGGAGCCTTGATCGAATGGGATTTAGAAAAACTGTGCTTGAAGACAACGGTCCTACTCACTGGTTATGCAGCATGGTGTCTGGATGTGAACCCTGATAATACACTTGTAGCTGTTGGAACTGAACAAGGATATGTAAACCTCTATAATGTGGACAATGATGAGATTGTATACAGAAAATTATTTGATAAACAAGAAGGCAGGATATTGTGTTGTAAATTTAACAATAAGGGGGATGTACTGGTAACAGGTAATTTTTATGATTTTAGTAAAGTTGGCATATTATTTTCTTTACATAAATTTAACTTATCCTTCTAATATTATAAATGTGTTTGTTTTAAGTGTACATAAAGGGGAAACCTTTTATATTTAAAAAATACTACTATCAATTTTGGTTTAACCTTTCAATCATTGTAAGTTAAGACAATAGAAGTACAATAGGTGCCCAGATGCTAAGATTTGCTTTCAATTTAATGAATTAGTAAATTACAAAAGCTATTATAATAAATTATAAATATATTTCAGGTTCAATAAACACAATAAGGGTATGGAATGTAAATACTGGTCATGCAATAACTCGTATGTCTGTGAGCCGTAGAGGCCGTGAGGTGATAGTGTGGTGTCTAGATATACTGTCTGATAACACTATAGTGTCCGGTGACAGTCTGGGAAGACTTATATTTTGGGATGGCACTCTTGGGGACCAGGTAAATATGAACTTATGTAATAATTTACATTCATATCAACATGGCTAGCTGTTGCAGTCATAGTAGATTTACTTTTTCATAAAAGAATATATAAGTAAGCAATATATAAGTTATTACATTTAGAGGGATATTTTTTAACCTGTTACAATAGATGATGTCTTAGAAATTCAGAGCTTCAATTTGTAATTTTGTATATATGGCAGATTAAAACATTACTGTTTTTTTTTCTTTAAAGATTGAATCATACTCAACTCACAAAGCAGATATATTGTCAATAGCTGTCTCTGATGATGAGAAGAGTCTGTTCTGCAGTGGAGTTGACCCTGTTATTATGAATTTCATCAAAGTTAATAAGAACATGGGCAAACTGACTGAAGCTCACTGGGTAAAAAATGTGCAGAGAAACATTCATGAACATGACGTAAGGTGAGATTGTTAATTTTTATTCATATTGCTACTGGAGGCCCAGGCCTTCCCATCCCTCATACCATAAACCCTCAAAACCCTAATCCCAAAATCGGCAATGCACGTAATTCTTTCGTTTTCGCCGTCCATGGACACCCGGGCGTCGCTGATTGCTTACCATCAGGTAATCCTTCTGCATGTTTGCCATCCTATCACATATAAAAAATAGGTATTTATATTAATATTATCAACATAAAAGGAAATTATGTTTTTATATACTTGATTAAAATATTGATGCAGCTGGTTTATCAAACACTTACATTATTTTGTACTTACATAATACATACTGAAGTTTTTTATTTGAAATTCAAACTTTTTTTACAATTAAATTGGAAAGAGATAAAAGTGTCTGAGTGACTCTAGAATTAAATTAGAAAAAGTTAAAATTGACACAACAAGTGTAGACTTTTATCTTTTCATACATTATGTGTTAATGATGCACTAATTTTTAATAATGATAATTTTTTCCAGAGGGCTTGTTATCCATGGTGAGAAATTAATCTCAGTTGGTGTTGATGGATACCTCACTTTCTCAAGTTATCCTCCAAAGTGGGTGATGAGGTTGCCACCCATGATACCAGCACCAAGATCATCAATATGTGTTCAGAAGAAATTATTACTATTAAGGTAAATATTTTACTAAGTTGGCAACACTAAAAAGATATAGCATCTTTATATAATAACTCTTCTGATTTGTATGGTTTACTTTGCAGGTACAGCAACCACCTAGAAGTGTGGAAACTAGGTTCGTACGCGACAAATAACGATGGAAATGTATTAATAAGTAATGTCAACACTACACTAGATAGCAGTCAGACAGAGAACAATGATTTAGAGCAGGATTCAACTATAGATGTTATTAGCAGAGCAAAGGCGGAAAATACACAGAAACAAACTTTAAAACTAACTGGAAAGCCTACGAAATTAGTGTCGGTACAAACGAAAGGCAAGAAACAGATACAGTGTTGTGCTTTGTCTCCTAGTGGAGAATTGGTTGTATATTCAACAGCTAGCAACATTAGAATGCTTAAATTGGATACTGTAAGTATACTTACTTATTCTTGTTAACTTTTTCAAATAATATGTATCTAATACTTTTATCGTTCCAACAATTTCGATGAAATTTTATGCAAAGTATTTCAGAGATCAAATATTATAACTGGGTCTCATGTTAAAAAAAAAAATTGACAGGAAAGTTTATCCTAAACAAGATCTAGGTGGAGGTTTTATAAGCCTTGGTTTACTTCAGTTATTAATTTCAAGAGGTACAGAAGTTAAATTATGTCCTATACTATAGAACAAAAATCCTATAGAATTTATAGGATCGGATAGTATAAGTCCAGGCGTTATTTGAATCCCATGGGCCTATGATCACCTCAATACCAGAGCCGTCTTTATAGTTTTGGAGTATAGGTGTAGGGATTTAAAGAGAGATCTGGAGGAGTAGGGAAGTCGAAGTAGGGTTTTTGGTAACCGCCGGTTTTCCGTCAGGCCGTTGCATCCCTCCGGTAGAGTCGGCCAATTCCTGCCGACGCATTGAGCAACCGCACTTACACAGGATAGATTACACTAGGATATACTATTGCTATCATGCTATTTGTATGAAGTTGAAAACAGATACATTATAATACACTTGTATATAAAAATTGTCATGATATTTTTTGGTATTTCAATTAATTTGTATATTTTAATTATTTGCAGGAAGATGAAGAGCAATCTAACATATCTCTATCGAAGTTATTGATCAACGGTTTGCCTGAAGGCGGGTGTGACTGCGTGGCGTTCACAGATGATTCGAATACAATGGTGGTTCACATGGCAGGCACACTGCATGTCTTACAAGTTGACCTAGAGGCCGGGGCGACGCCTGTACAGACACTAAATCTAGAGAAACGTAAGTGTAATTGTTTGTGTATAACTTTTTTTATAGCCGTATATATTTTATAGTAAACGAGCTTACGGATTACCTGATGGTAAGCTGTCAGCGCCGCCTATGGACAACCGCAGCACCAAAGTTACGAGTGCATTGCCGGTCTTTAAGGGATAAGGGTTTCGGATATTTAAGGACTGGAAAGGCATGGGGGAGGGGTGGGATTGGGCCTCCGATAACCTCACACACACGGCGAAACACAACTTATGGGACCTTTTTTTGGCCTACATATGCGAAGCATTTACTTTCAACAATTTCTAGGCTACAATTGAAGTGTTTCAATAAAATAGCTAAGTGTGGCTAACTCGCTAACTTTAAAAAGAACCGCAGATTAGGTAAAGACACGTCTGTGTATAAAATTGGTACCTACCATAAAGTTCAAGAGATGTTAAATTGAAATACTTTCATAAATATAATGTGTTATTGTCTTTTTTACAGACCTACAAGCAAAGTCAATATTACACCTGTACATTTCCAAGAAAAGTCCGAAGGTTGTCACATACTTAGTTGTAGCGGACACAGTGGGTTGTATTTCTGTTTGGACGCAAAACGCGAAGAAATTTGAATTCTACGTTAGTTTGCCGCAGTACCATTGCTTGCCGTCAGCCCTCGTAGTAGACAGTCAAAGGGAATACCTCATTGTGACCTATGTTGATCAAAAGGTAAGTTGTATTAATTTTTTCCTATTATTGTGTCTATCAAACTCTTATGATTCAGTAGACGTTTCACTTGTTTACAAAACTTCACACTTGTTTTCGCTTGGTGCACGTCTTTCCAAAGTAAAAAAAAAAATCATTTTTTCCAACTAAACCATAAATAGGTACTTTTGAAACGTCAAAATAGAATAGTAGCCTGTAAGCCTGTTCGTCAGTGAAGCTAGGTACTCGTTCCAAATTGTAGATTCGAATGGAAAAGAACGAGAAAGAAACACGATCGTTACTCTTTAAATGGTTTTACCCTTTCACTAATACATTATTTAGTATAAATTAGTGTACCCAATTTTGGGAACAATGCAAAAACAAATTGGTTAAACAAAAAGAACAAATGATATAGGAATAGAGTTAAGGTTATATGAGGAGAGTCTCTTATAATATAATATGCTAAGTGGTTATAACATGCACCTACAGCAATTCGGATTTTGTACTATTTCGAAAGACCGTAAAAAACGCTCAGTCCTGGAGTCGAACTTACAACAACATTCGGTATTTTCGGTAATCGATCAGGCGCTCAATTTAGTATTATTTGTTAATTCAGTCATAAACTAAGTCAAACCGACCAGAAGAGAAATATATTTACGAGTAAAACGACGTATTAAAAAAAAAACAAGAACGAGACTAACATAAAATTTAATTGTCACAGATCGTGGAATACGAGCTACAAGAGAAGCGATTTACATCATGGCCGGGTCCGGCGCTACCTCCAGAATGGTATTCGCGCAAGTCAGTTGTCTCGTCTATCAGCGTGCATCCAACGCGCAACTCTGTATTGTTCCAAGATGAAACGTCCCTATGGGTTATGGATAGAACTGCGCAGGTAAATTTGTGACTTAAGTTAACTACTTAGTTTTTTCATAAAACATTGCCCAACAAAAAGATTTTTTCCTGTGTAGTCGTAAAACATATATTAAATTGCACCATCACATCACGCCCAGACCCGAGCAACAATTTGTGGATCGTACAGAGTTGTTCCGTGCAGGAATTACTCGCGATTCATTGAAATACAGCCAGTTGCCCAGGCACCGCGCGTTAAGTGTGGGAGAGCCATGGTTCGTGCAAAGGCTGCGTTGTTTCTCTCATTGTGAGATTATTGGAGATTTTTCCTTCTAATCCCCAAATATCTTAAAACTGACAAAGGGTCGGCAAAATAATTTGTAACCCCATTAGGGGTAGCGAGTGTTAATGGCCAGTGCCGATTGCTTACCATCAGGTGACACATCTTATTTGCCTACCTATCCCATAACCAAGTGAACGGTAACAAAATAAACCCGATTGAATATTTCAAAACCAATAGCTCATGATAGTCCACTGTCCATCACTGATTGACGATAGACCTCTTCTAACTTAAAGTGACAAAATAATTATGTGTCTAATCATATTGATTTGCCTAAAATACGGACATTAGAATCAAAATTGTTAATCGTCCTGATTTGTTCCCGATTGATTATAATAGTAATTTGTTGCTTAATATTGAGCATTTAAAAATAGAATGTATATATATGTTTGTAAATATTGGAAAACACCGTGGTATACGTATATATGTATCTTTTATTGTGAAACCACATGTTAACTTTATTGTGTTTATTTGCAGGAGGCAGTGGAGCCAGTTGCTAAAAGAAAATCGAAACCTGGCAGCAAGAATGTTGGACTTAGAATCGTGCCCATCAAGGTTAGCATTTTTTCCTTAATTTGGTATACACAGTATATTAGATCAAGGGACTGTTTTATCACCTTCTTATGGGGTACGATACTTAGACACGTGATTGTGTTCCTTCGGCATTTACTATAGGATCAAGCCTAAAATCGCAAAAAAGCGCCTGTTTAAGTATTGTACCCCATTTGCCAGTCACTATTTAAGTCCCTGATATTTGGCAGAAAGTTCATACAAAAACAACGTTTTCCATTCAAAGTTATCTGGAAGACATTAGTTATCCAAATATGGCAGCACGTTATAAATGTAGTTTTTCACATATTTACGAAATATCTACTAAAGAAGTTTGTTTTTTGTCACACAGAGATATTCGTTTATAGGCAAAAGTCTATCTTTTTACTAAATTTAATTTAATCTAGTAGTTTTCACTTAGAAATAAATGTTGAAACCGCCGTGCACCTAACCATTTAATAATATTTCATTCTTTTCTCCTTTTTAATTAATACAAATAACTTTCCTTATGACTGATATAAAATATCTTACTATAGTAGGTACTACTAGAGCATCATGAATGAATGCTTTTTAGTACAAGATGGCACGCAAACTATTCAATAAAACAGTACCTAAAGTTTTACGATTTCCCTCCATAAACTCACACGTACAGCGATTTATTACTACGATTATTGTGTTAAGAAATTCTCTAAGAAATCTTAGCTTCGTTACAATACTATATATGTATTTGATTTTATTCAATATTAACTAAGATCGTTGATAGCTGATTTTCAAACACGATCCCAAGCTTCACGGAATAAAGTTCAGTATTCGTTAAAACGTCAATTTACATAGGTAATATATCACTCGTGAAAACAGAATATTAATATTTATATTTGTTTTTGAGGAAAACAAAACAAATAAGTATTTAAGTTTATATTATAATCCTGTGGCATTGAGTATAAATTTTATTCTTTTTTTTTAGTACTTGGCGGGTTTCCACTGGATAGACCAGGATGAAGCCGTCACATTGGAAGTATTACCAGAAAATATAGTGTCACAGCTGCCACCTATCGCTGCTACGAAGAGACATGGACATATATGAATGAAATAATAAATTGACACTTTTAAATATTTGTGTTTATTTAAAAATGGTTTACATAGATTGTAAGAAAAGTCCTTTCAAGTTATCAATCCTACTTATCCTCCGCTTTACAGTGCTAGCATTGTTGGAGGATCGTTTCATTGTCGAAGAGCTGATAAGTTTTTTTTAAATATACATCTCATTCAACTTTTATTATTTTCTCTTCTCTAACAAAGCTAGCACCGTGTACTATGTACATTAGAAACTTATTACCACACAGCTAATTGTATTCGTATTGTAAAGATACATTTAGCTTTTTTACATATGTTGGTAAAATATTTAAAGAGTTTTGGTAATTTGCGTACAAAAGTGCCAAAGAGGGAATCTTAAAAATGTTAGGGTATTATGTGGGAAAGCGGTGGGATTTTAAAAAGATTTATACTTAAATCCATCGATAAAGGATAAAAAAGCATAAAAAGTAGAAAGTTTAAAAATTGTTTTGAATTTCTGTTGTTATGAAATAGTTATTCAGTCTCGTTCATAATTCTCTGCAAGTTGTCCCAGCCTAGGGGTGAGACGGTCAGCTGCTGGGGACGTGCCCACATTTCATCTGTCATCTCGCAACGTGACGGCGGCAGTTTGTACGAAATCGGGTCTCCATCGACACTTCTGAAACAAATATTTAAAAATATATATCTACTAGCTTTTGCCCGCGACTTTGTTCGCGTGGAATAGTGATTTTCTGCGGATTTTTGTCCTTTCTAGAGTTCCAAACTACCTATATCTATCTATCAAACACACAAATAGGTTCAGTGGTTTAGGCGTGAAGAAAAGACAGACAAAGAGACAGAGTTACTTTTGCATTTATAATGTTAGTTTGGGTTATTAATAATAAAGGTTATGTATTTCAGAAATTAATATCAAACAATTCATTTGAAATAGGTATTAAAATAAAAATAATAATATACTACTTAATCATAAATTAATGTTAAACAAAAAGTAATGCTTATATAAACTTTTAAAATTACTAGTAACAACAAAGTTAAATTGGGTTAATAATAAGTAAAAAAAAAATATCACAAGATTTAAGATAAGAAAACGAATATAAGGAGGTCTGGCGAGGCTCCTAATCCACCTATTAAATAATGTTGAGTTCCAACTGTCAGACAATACCTACATCCAGGACACTATTTGGGCTGCCACCTTTTTCTGATACATAATTGTGACAAAATCCTAAATACAGAAAACAGCAGAAGCAAAACTTAAATAATGGTAAGTACCTATATGTATAATAAGCTAGCGATCCGCCTCGGCTTCTCACAGGTGCAATGCTGATGCAAAATTTCTACACTATTTAATGGATGTTGTACATATAAACCTTTTTCTTCAATCACACAATCTATTAAAACTAACCGCACCAAAATCCGTTGCGTTATTGCGTACTTTTAAAGGGTTAAGCGTACCTACATAGGGATATAGGAACAGAGAAAGCGATCTTATTTGATATCGTTTTTTTTTTAAATATGCATATCTATTGAAGGCAAAAGAATTCTGGGAGATGTTGGTAAGTACTTACATGTGAGAGAGTGTCAGACTATTACTGACTAAAAACCGCCCGTGCCTTCTTCTGCTTCAGGCAAGTACCTGATTGCGTTTCCTCCGCAACTCCCGTTGAATACCAGAAATGTTATGAGAAGATTTTGGATTTGAATGCAAATCCAGAAAAAATATAGATATCGAGATAATAATCATATCTAGATTAATGTAGGTATTCTAGATATGATTATAATTAGTATAATATGCACAAGCGGTGAAACAAAAACCTACCGAAACACGCTTTCCGCCCTTATTCGAATCTATCCAAAACTTGTGAAATAAATACGGTTACAGGTACGCCTTTTTTCGGGAGAATCGATAGTTTCAGTTAGGTACTGTTACGAGGCTCCATAAAGACCCTGACTTATCTATAATTATGTAGATAGGTAGGTGTAGAAGTCAGTTACTCGAATAGCTTTATGGCAAAGCTGCTATTTTTTACCTACTTACAAATATAACGCAACAACTAAACCGCATAACACAGTGATACACTCTGTGTTATTTACGATCTTTCCAGTTTAGTCTCATAGCCGTTAAAACTAGCATTTAGGTGAATGTATACGTACCCTAAGAATACAACTGTCTGCTTGTAAGGGTCGTAAATTTGTCCGGGTCTTAATGGTGGGCGGAGAGGATAATCTCGGTCGGTTTTCACTAGACGACCGAAACGCTCCAAAGGACACTGCGCGCGACGCCCTATCATGGCTGGAAAAAAGAAATTTTCAAACTGTTGTATATACATACAGACTTAGGTACTAAGCGTTATAAAATATTTCAATTGAAAAATATCTTATTTCTTTTTTTTAAATAACATGTAGACACTTCAGAATTTATATGGTCTTTTAACTTTTTCTTTTTCACGATGTCTAGTATCGTGTATATACCTACCCGGTTTTTAAGATGTTATTCTTACTGAGGTCACCTTGCGAGAACTTCAAAAGGAGAACTTGTTTTTACAATGGCTATAAGTAAAAAAAAAAGGTTTAAATAAGTTAGTATGGAGTATGTAGGAAAGCCAGAGAGAGAGAGAGTATGCACGAAAGGGACCGGCTCCCAGGAAACGTGAAAACACGCGTGTGTTTGACGTGTGTGTGGTTGAGGTAACTGGAGGCCCAATTTTATTTTCCTCCTCTAAAGATTGCATTGGTATTCGTATTTATAAGCAGATATTCGTCGATTATTTTTTTAAGTGTGGGAGAACCATGCTTCGGCACGAAAGGGGTCGGCTCGACCGCAGTGATTATTAAATGTGATACTACCCCAACAGCATACGCGATATCGGGGCGCGTCCCTGTCATCAGGTATGCTAAGGCTCCTACTGCCTCTCGATAAGGAAACTTTTTCTCAGGTGCTTTCCCTGTTTCTGAAGTCACTGTTTCGATTGGTGTAGAGACGGGATTGCAGTCAATCATATTGAAGCGTTCGAGGATCTTCCGCGTATAAGCTTGTTGGCTTATAAATATAGATCCATCCTTGGAACGTTCTATTTCAAGGCCAAGGTAATACGAAGCCGGCTTGCTTGTGATTTTGACAGCTTGTCCCAGCTCCTTCAAAAATTTAGTTGCCAAAGCCTCGCTTGTAGTGGCCATGAGTCCGTCATCCACGTACAACGCCAACAAAATCTTATTGCCCCCTTCTGTCTTTGTAAAGAGACAACAATCAGCTTCATTCTGTGTGAATCCTTTTTGCAACAGAATGTCTTCAATGCACATGTTCCAGCAACGAGGAGCTTGCTTTAGGCCATATAGACTCCTCTGTAGCCTGCATACTTTCGAAGAGCCATCAGAAAAGCCAGGAGGTTGTGACATGTATATTTCCTGCTCTAATTTCCCATTTAAAAAGGCTGTCGCGACGTCAAATTGTGTTAAATGAAGTTTCTCTTGTGCAGCAACGCTTAAAAGAGCTCTAATGGTAGACATCCTGGCTACCGGATTATATGTCTCCTCATAATCTAGCCCTTTCCGTTGTCTGAACCCTTTAACGACCAATCGCGCCTTATATTTGTCTATGCTTCCATCTGGGTGTCGTTTAATCCGAAAAACCCATTTACATGGTAGCGCCTTTCTATTAGACGGAAGCTCGCACAGTGTCCATACATTATTCTCCTTGAGTGACTGAAGCTCGCTGGCCATGGCTTTCCGCCATTCCGCACCGTCAGTTCTACTTATTGCTTCATGGTAGCTCTCTGGAAAGTTTTCTGTGCCTACAAAGCAGACGTAGTCATCGAACTTCTTAGGGGGAGCAAGAGTTGACCTGTCTCTAAGGTTATATCTAGGTTCCTCTTCTCTCTGGGGCTCATCTCTCAGGGGCTCGACTACAATTTCCTCTTCTTCCCCTTCTAGTCGAGGCACCTCTACTCTCAGAGGCTCAACTATGTCAAGAGGTTGCTGTTCCCCTTCAGCCGGAAAATTCTCTTCCCCTTCAGCATCGACAAACTCTCCATCATCATCTTGCTCAGTAGTATCAGTAGCATCCTCAGACCCTAACCGTAATGTGAATTCAACATTACTTTGAAAAGTTATGTCTCTGGATTTGAATGTTTGATGTCCGTCCCACACACGATATCCATCGTCGTTTTCATAGCCAATAAGAATGCCTTTCATGGCTTTCCTAGACATTTTGTTACGCTTCTGCTTTGGGATATGTGCATAACATTCACTACCAATAACCTTGAGGTGTGATATTCGAGGTTTTTTGCCGTGCCATAGTTCGTATGGAACTTTGTCTGTCACTCGACTTGGGCCTGTTCTATTCAGAACATACGGTAACTCATTCCTTGCATGCATCATACTTCTCGCGGCCTCTACCAGGGTTCGGTTCTCACGCTCACTACACCCGTTCTGTTCCGGTGTGTAAGGCATTGTCAGTCTGTGCTGTATACCAAAATCCTGTAGTATTTTCTTGACGTCCTTATTATCAAACTCGCCACCGTTGTCACTAAGCAAGGTTTTCACATTATGCCCAGCATTCTTTGCCTCTTTCAGCATCTGCAGCAACTTGTCCTTGACTTCTGACTTCTGACGTATGAAGTAAACCATACGGTAGCCTGAGTAGTCGTCCTTGAACAATACGTAGTACCGGAGTTTAGTTATGCTTGGTGCAAAAGGACCGCATACATCTGTATGGATTAGCTCTCCACATACAGTAGCTCTTTCCCTGGTTCCAAAGGTCTGTCTTTGGGACTTCCCATATATGCAGCCTTCGCATTTAATATTATCAGGCTTGAGGTTCACGCCTAATTCACGTTTTACGACGCGTATTACATGCCGCTTGTCCTGATGTGCAAAACGCTCATGATAGAGCTGCAGCATATTGGAACCGGTGACAGCATTTACCTGTATAGCTCTCAGTGTTGTTGGAATTACCGTTTTAAAGTCCAACTTGTAAAGGCCTCCCTTCGGGATCCTCCTGCCAACGACTTTAGTCATGCCTTCAATTTCCAACTTGCATTTTT